GGGGGCCAGGCGGGCTGATGTACGGCCTAATGGCAGACAGCTGGGGTTGTCTAGGCAGTCGGCCTGTGTCCACTGGATTGGCATGCCGGGTATGTTGTGGGGTCGTGTGCTCCCTGAAGTGCAGCATTTTTCTCGCTTGGACAGGCCACCGGAAGTTTTTTTTGCTCCATGTAAGCGGCAACGATTTGGGGGTTAGGTCCATGTGGGAGCTGGTGCGGGATGTCAAGTTGGACTTTCTTCGGTTGCACAGGGAATTTCTAGATATTGTGGTTGTGTGGTCTGACATGGTCACCCGCACTTCTTGGCGTTTGGCGAGATCGGTGGAGCAGGTTAACAAGGCCCGTATAAAAGTCAACAAGGAGGTGGGGCGATTCTTTATCCACAATGGGGGGCTGGTGGTCCAGCATTTGGAGTTGGAGGTTGATACCTGGCAGTATCTTAGGAGCGCTGGGATACACTTGAACGCTGTAGGGACTGATTTATGGTCCCTGGGTCTACAGGATGGAGTACAGCAGGCCATTTGGGTGCGGCGTGGCACGCATGGGTAAGGGCTTACCCAGAGTGCTGTGCCGGTTGTTGGTCTTTGGAGGCGGTACTTATTTTGAAAGGTAGAAAGGATGGTGTGGGGCCCATCAGTGGTATGGTGTGCCCGTGGGCATTCCAGTTAACCGAGGTTTAACTGGAAGATGGTGGTTCTGCACTGCGGATGGTATGGTTGTCTCTGAGCCGGTGTGTTGCGGCTGGAGGCCTAGTGTAACATGGCTTCCGCAGGTGGATTTCAGTTCGGCTTTGGTGCCTTCGAAGACCAAACAACTCTGACTAGGTGTTTCTGTTTTAAGAAATGTTTTGTGTATTTGAAGTCGAAGTGTTAATAAAATGCCTTGTTGCCCATTTTACTCCAATTTGGTGTTATGTTTTTATTTAAGGTAATTCATAAAGGGGTTGGTATGGAAGAGTGAAATGGTGGTGCCGTGGGTCTTGAGTAGCCTATCTCTGGTGCACTAGTCAAATGTCTTTCAGAAATCCCCATCCTACCTTATCAAATGCCTTCTCAGCATCTACTGAGACAAGTCAGGCTGCAATATGGTTTCTTTGGACATATTCAATTAAAGAGATGGTTTTAATAGTGTTGTCACAGGTCAGGCCAGGACTGGTTGGGAGGTAAGGATGGGCATTGAGGTCCATTTCAGGGGATTCTCTGAAGAAGTCATGTGATGCTGTGACAACATGCGTTGGGTGTAACCAGGTGACATCGGACCAGGAAGTGTCCTGCATGCCTTGTATTCCACTGCTGAGAGCTGTGTTTTTGTATTTGTGGTTACCAAGCCTTTTTCTGTGGTGTTCCTGCGCATGTGAGTTGCTTACTTTTAGTAAATAGATTTATCTTTTATGTGAAGAAGTTATTTCTTTGTTGCATCAGAATGGGGAAGAAAGGAGATTTAAGTGACTTTGAACATGGCATGGTTGTTGGTGCTAGACAGGCTGGTGTGAGTATTCAAAAACTGCTGATTTACTGGGATTTTCAACCATCTCTAGGGTTTACAGAGAACGGTCTAAAAAAGACAAAATACCCTGTGAGCGGCAGTTGTGTGGACGAATATGCCTTGTTGAGGTCAGAGGAGGATGGGCAGATGTTTCAAGATGATAGAAAGGCAACAGTAACTCAAATAACTACTTGTTACAACCAAGGTATGCAGAATACCATCTCTGAATGCACAACACGTTGAATTTTGATGTAGATGGGCCACAGCAGCAGAAGACCAGACCGGGTGCCACTCTTGTCAGCTAAGAAAAGGAAATGGAGACTATAATTCGCACAGGCTCACCAAAATTGGATAATAGATTAGAAAAATGTTGCTGGTCTGATGAGTCTCAATTTCAGCTGCAACATACCGATGGTAGGGTCAGAATTTGGCATAAACAACATGAAAGCATGGATCCATCCTGCCTTGTATCAACAGTTCATAGATGTGCGACTGACAAATTTGCAGAAACTGCGTGATGCTGTCATGTCAATATGGACCAAAATCTCTGAGGAATGTTTCCAACACCTTGCTGAATCTATGCAACGAAGAATTAAGACAGTTCTGAAGGCAAAAGGGTGTCCAACCCGATACTAGCAAGGTGGACCTAATAAACTGGCTGGTGAGTGCATATATACAGTGTATTTGTTTTTGCTTGTGTTTGATGATGAGGATTATTTTGTATGCATATAAGTAGTGCAGCACTTTCATTACATAATTTTTATTGCTATTGTGGGAACACAATTGGTGCTTGCAGCAGCTTATAATTTTGATTTTTTTTTTTTGCGTATTTCACATAAAAGGAGGTGGTGTAGGAATATCTTAATTTCTTAAAACCACTTTAACATGTCTGTCCTGGACATTGGTGGGAAATGTCCTGGGGCACGCCTGGAAACCCTTCAGTGGAAAAGTTATGTCACACATTGTAAGACATTTGTCAACCAACTCGCCAACAAAATTAGATGCACACTTATTGTAAATCAGGCTGAATCTTAATAAGCAAAGAATTTGTGGGGATTTCTTCTCCATTTGTAACCCTGGAAAGTAAATGGAGAGTTTTGGACAGATTACCCACTATAGATGAAACAAAATTTCACTGAACGCATGTATTGGCACAGTGCTAATATAGGGCAGCAGAGGGAGGAATGTGATATGTGGAAGGGAAAGGGGGTGCTGGGAACTTCAGCTGCTCTGTACTCCCGGCACCTTGGGGGCTAAGAATATGCATGCATCATACATACTAGGGGGAGTACAACTGGGGGAATCAATGGTGGAGAAGGATCTGGGGGTTCTGGTAGATCACAAGCTTAATAATGGCATGCAATGCCAAGCTGCGGTTTCCAAAGAGAGCAAAATCCTCTCTTGTATTAAACGAGGTATAGACTCCAGAGAGAGAGATATCATATTACCCCTGTACAAATCATTAGTAACACCTTATCTGGAATATGCAGTTCAATTTTGGGCACCAATTCACAAAGAGAACATTGGGGAACTGGAGAAAGTACAGAGAAGGGCAACCAAACTGATAAGAGGCATGGAGGAGCTCAGCTCTGAGGAAAGATTAGAGGAACTGAATTTATTCTCTCTTGAGAAGAGGAGATTAAGGGGGATACTGTATGATCAACATGTATAAATACCTCAGTGGTCCACATAGTGAACTCGGTGTGGAGTTATTCACCCACATCACAGAGCATAACGGGGCACTCTTTAAATTTCTTTTCCTCCAGACGTAATCTCCAAACATGGAAAGGTTTCTTCACAGTAAGAGCTGTGAAAATGTGTAATAGACTCCCTCAAGAGTTTGTTCTGGCCAGCTCAGTGGATTGCTTTAAAAAAGTCCTGGATTCTTTCTTGGATACACAGAATATAACTGTATACTAACATTTATAGGTAAAGTTGATCCAGGGAATATCCAATTGCCTCTTGGGGGATCAGGAAGGAATTTTTTCCCCTGCAGGAGCAAATTGCATCATGCTTTGCTGAATTTTTTGCCTTCCTCTGGATCAACTGTGGGTATAGGATTATAACTTTTTTTATGGTTGAACTGAATGGACTTTTGTCTTTTTTCAGCCAGACTAACAATGTAACCTCACAGACAGGAGTGACTGCAGAAGGAGGATGGGCCTTACAGGTGCTGGGGGAGGATTCTGCTCTCTACCCCTCTAATAATAGCCTACTGTGGGCAGAAGAGAGCACACAGCTATTGAGAACACACCTCCATCTATGAGAGGCACTGCTGGGGAGTGAAGGCAGATCGCTCTTTTTCCTGTCTCCCCTTGTCATGTGACATAACACCTGACCACACACAAGAAGAAGAAGAGTCTGCCTTCATTCCTGGTGGGTGCCACAATGAGGAGGTCTGAACAGAGTACACAGAAGTTTTGTGGGACTTTAAGGGTACACAATTTCACAGACATCAATGAAAATGAGTTATTTAAAACTTTATTATAGTAACATTTAAAAAAAAAAACATGAATAAAATCAAATATAAGCTGAAAATAAGTCAATATCTCATACTCTCCTGAACACAGGTATACAGATGTAAATAGTTCAATTGTCCATATTATATAAACAATTTCCAATGCATTTCAAGTTTCACTCTTCTTCAGGGGCACAGATTGATGGGGACACCCGATGTAAGGGACACACTAATGAAGAAAGATGATCTAACTGGCACTCTGATAGGGAAATCTGATGTCAGGGACACTCCGATGAGGACACCCGTCGTAAGGCGGCACTCCGATGGGGACACCCGATATATGGCGGCACTCTGCTTGGGACTCCAGATGAAAGGTAGCACACTTATAGGAATATTTGCTAAGAGTGCACTCTGAAGATTGAAAATATTGAAATGCTATGGACACTGTACAGATGAACCTATTAAAATAATCCTACCAATGCTGTATCTTTTTCGCTAAGAGCTGTGAGAAAAATCCAAAGTAAAAAGTGGTCGTTGTGGCAGGTGAGTATGCGTGTTATCAGACATTTAAAACTGTATGAGCCACTGGAATTATTTTAGAACACATGTTCATGTGTGTATATCCATATATTATGCCAGTAAGCTCTTAGAACACAACTTTGGAGTATTTTTAATACCCATGAGCTCTTCTGTAAAATAGGAACCTAAATGCTGCGGTGTGAATGGACATGAATTGGTTGACATACAGCTGCATTCAGAGTCTAAGGACTGAATTTGCAGATATGTCACAATAAGAAGTGGCTTCCTATGATGGCACACCAAGAAGAGGAGGAGGAGCCAGGAGCGCCAGTGGGGGACCCTAGAAGAGGAGGATTGGGGCTGCTCCATGCAAAACCACTGCACAGAGCAGGTATGACATGTTTAATATTTTAAAATAAGGTTTACAATCACTTTAATAGTCTCAGGGCTATCTATTACTGAACTGACACCTCATTTCAGTTAGTGAAAAATGTTTAATTCTTCCCTAGAAATTCTACTTATATTAGCCTATTGGCTGTTCACTTCATGCTATCCTGCAATTTCTGGATGCTTCTTTTAAGAGCTTCTTTAACATCTTTGTTCCTTAAGCTATAGATTAATGGATTAATCAAAGGTGGGAACATGTTGTAAATTAGTGCATAAATTTTGTCAGTCTCCACATTATGCAGTTCTTTTGGTACAACATAGACAACAAAAATACTGCTAAAAAATAGAATGACTGTGGCCAGGTGTGATGAGCAGGTGGAGAAGGCCTTACTCCGTCCTTGCTTTGTCTTTATCTTCATTATGGAGTATATTATAATTATATACATAAGCAAAATAAAGAGAGGGATGAACAAGGTAGCGATAGTGCTGACTGATTGATTGGCAGTGTTTATAGGGGTTATATCAGCGCATGCCAAACTCAGAAGTGGTGCCAGGTCACAGAAATAGTGTTTTAATTCATGTGATTTGCAGTATGGAAGTCTTACAGTAAGAGTCAATGGCATTATTGCAATCAGGAACCCATAACACCAACATATAAAAGTTACCACCTTACATACTCTTCCAGTTATAATAGTGGGGTATCTCAGAGGAGTATATATGGCCATGCAACGGTCAAAGGCCATAATAGCCAACAAGCTGCATTCACTGATGCCTAGGCTGTGGAACATGTAGAGCTGAGCAAAGCATGCTTGGAATGAGATCCTTTTGTTGTTGGTCAGCAGTAGAGACAGGAGCTTGGGAACAGTAATGGTCACAAACCACAAATCCAGGAAGGATAAACAGGCGATGAAGAAGTACATAGGATTATGAAGGCTTGTGTTAGACCAAACCACCAAGATTATAACTGCGTTTGCACTCAGTGTCCAGAGGTAGATAATGAGGAAGAAAACAAAGAAATAAAAGCGATATTGCTCGAGATTGACAAAGCCTATGAGTAAAAAATCACCAAACAATTCAGTGGTTTGATTTACTTCTTCCATAACACAACAGGGTATATATATCAGATCTTGGGAAGGGGGGTTTCCTTCTTTATTTCGGCAGAGCTGTGAAAGGGGTTTTATCTTCTTTAATTAGGCACACCTATGAAAACCAAACAAACTCTTACCAGTTCCATTTATTAGCTTAAATGTACAAATAATAACAAGAGCAATGGAACCTGTGCACCTAAAATACATACAACCCATGCTTTTTAGAGCGTATCTAAATCTAAAAATGTAATACTATATATTGCAGATTACTAGTCCTTGGTGTGGTGGCTACAATAGTTTTCTTTTTTCAAGCATGGTCATCCAGCAAATAATGTACTTCCTGTCCCTGGGTGACTACATCACTCCTCCATGTATATATGGAGTGAGCCATGGTTGCCACCCTTGGCTACTCTCCTAATATGGACTACAAACATGTATCCAAATCTCTTCATCTCTATTACTGTACATAGGGTTTCAAGGTAAATGGTAGACTATAGGAGATAACTAGGAAGGAAAATATTTGACTGTGCAGCTCATAGGAAGTGACAAGGACGATGCATTTCTGCAAAGATCAACAAGTACTGTATTTTCCGCAAATTGGAAAAAAAAAGAAACAAAAAAAACTTTGATAGCCACCACATCCAAGGACAGTAAGCTTTAATATATTACAATTTTGTTCTTGGATTTGGTTATCATTTAAAAAAGAATTATATATTTTTATTAATTATACTAAAATTATACTGGATGCAGCATCGACCTGATGGTCAGGATCTTTCCAGAGTCTGGACCGCTGAGTGACGTCAGCCCACAGCAGGCTTTAGCCCACTGACGGCTGAAAATGGGTCACAGGCACACAGAACAAACTGCACTCTTGTGATTCACAGAAGTACAGCCAAGGGAGCTTTTGGCTGTGCTCATACAGTTTGTAATTAGGGAGAAAGATCTCGTCATACAACAGTGCAGCTTCACATATTTATATTTATACCCCTGTCCTCAATCTGTAGGATTATCATTTCCCTGCATGATGTACATGCAGAAAGTACTATACTTTATGCCCTCACATCAGCAGACACAGTTAGCAGCTTACTTGTTTTAATCAGAATATGTAATAACAGTTTGTTGTTCTAGTATCACCCATAGACTTGCTTTGTAAGAAGAAGTAATGAAGCACAACCATTTAGTTTTGAAAAGTAGAAAGCAGAACCTGGATATGTATTAATCAGTTATACCTGCCCCCCTCATGTACACAATTACAAACTATACCTAAAAACTATATTTTTTTAATAGTAACAAACATTGTCTAAAATTATTTTTTATTTTATGTGTATAAAACAAATCAAAATGGCATGTTTTTTCAGACTATTATATCATTATATTGGTCTCTCTCTACATTGAAAAAACAGAAATTAAACAGTTTTAAAGGAATAATATTAAACCCTTGGGCAATAAAAATAAATGTAGCAGCATACCTCATGTTGTTGGTTTGCTGTTACCTTTCTGTCTCCAGACCTTCTTTTAGGTAGAGTAGTCAAAAAGTTTGTTAAGTATATTTGCCCCTATAGAGTAACAATGCTGTTTTGCAGGGAATCCCTGAAGTTCCAGTTCTGTCTTGCAAGTTCCTGGATGTGGTTACAACTATATGTGCAGACGCTTGGTGCACAGGCAGCCCAGAAGGCCTTCCTCTACCCCGCTATGCTCTGGCAGTGGACTTTCCCTCAGCATACTAACGTCAAATTCAGGGCCATTGGACACATGTCCAATGCATTGGTCTTGATGACGTCAGAAGATCTGAGACAGCCGGAGCATAGGGGAAAATAAGCTGTGGGGACCTACCTTATAACCTGGAGGAAGCCTAAGGGAGCAGAGGATAGGGTAAGTGAAACTACGGTTTGTGGCCCCCTACATACCTTGCTTGTTTGGCCTTAGGGTGGCAGTTGCAAATATCTTATTTGAAATGGCTTTTTATACTTTTTACTACAAAGCCATCTGACAGAACACATTTTCTGGCCAAGCACTTGTGTTATTTTTAAAATTAATGTTATTATGTTTATAAACACATGTTACAGTTTGCTCCTCTTGGGAGGTCATTTTAACTTGTGCTTACTATTAACTGTATCAATATTAAGTCTCCAGAGTTTAATTAAAAAAGAAAAAGGTGTGTGTAAACTCCATTATAAAATGCTCAATCAATGATACTGTTTAACTTGCATTCATCATTATTCCAAACATGATTTGATTTTTATGTAACATTCAAATTAAATGTTATGTTCTTTTGTATTGTGGAAGTGGCTTGTTTTTTTTTAACCACTTTAGCACTGCCCCATAGCAGATATACTGCTACAGGGTGGCAAGTGTGCAAAATCACATACATATATATATATATATATATATATATATATACGCATTTACATACACACACATACATACACACCACACACATATATATATATATATATACACACATATATACAGTTGCAAGAAAAAGTATGTGAACCCCTTGGGATTACGTGGAGTTTTGCATGTATTGGGCATAAAATGTGCTCTGAACGTCATCTAAGTCACAACAATAGAAGAACACAGTCTGCTGAACATAATACTACACAAACATTAGATGTTGCTATGTTTTAATTGCACATACCATGAAAACATTCACAGTGCAGGGAGGAAAAAGTATGTGAGGCCCTAGCTTAATGACTTCTCCCAGAGCTAATTGGAGCCAGGAGTGAGCCAACCTTAACTCCAATCAGTGTGATGATATTGGATGTGTTGCTGACAGCTGTCCTGCCCTTAAAAAACACACACCTGTTTTGGGTTTACTGGTTTCAAGAAGCCCTGTCTGATGTGGACCATGCCTCGCAGAAAAGAGCTCTCAGAAGACCTACGATCAAGAATTGTTGACTTGCATGAAGCTGGAAAGGGTTACAAAAGTATCTCCAAAAGCCTTGATGTTCATGTGTCCACGGTAAGACAGACTGTCTACAAATGGAGAAAGTTTAGCACTGTTGCTACTCTCCCTAGGCGTGGTCGTCCTGTAAATGACTGCAAGAGCACAGCGCAGAATGCTGCATGAGGTAAAGAAGACTCCCAGAGTGTCAGCTAAAGACCTACAGAAATCTCTGGCACATGCTAACATTTTTGTTGACACATCTACAATAAGGAAAACATTAAACAAGAATGGAGTACATGGGAGGACACCACGGAGGAAGCCATTGCTGTCCAAAAAGAATATTGCAGCACGTTTGAAGTTTGCAAAATAGCACCTGGATGTTCCACAGCACTACTGGCAAAATATACTGTGGACAGATGAAACCAAGATTGAGTTGTTTGGGAAGAACACACAACACTATGTGTGGAGAAAAAAAGGCACAGCACACCAACATCAAAACCTCATCCCCACTGTAAAACATGGCGGAGGGAGCATCATGGTTTGGGGCTGCTTTGCTGCCTCAGGGCCTGGACGGATTGTTGTCATTGATGGGAAAATGAATTCCAGAGTTTATCAAGACATTTTGCAGAAAAAAAGGTACGACCATCTGTCCGCCAACTGAAGCTCTGCAGAGGATGGGTGATGCAACAGGACAATGACCCAAAGCATACGGGTGATGCAACAGGACAATGACCCAAAGCATACAAGTAATTCAACAAAACAATGGCTGCAACCGCATAGAATACACCTTCTGGAGTGGCCCAGTCAGAGTCCTGACCTCAACTCGATTGAAATGCTATGGCATGACCTTAAGAGAGCGATTCACACCAGACATCCCAAGAATATTGCTACACTGAAACAGTTTTGTGAAGAGGAGTGGTCCAAAATTACTCCAGATCGTTGTGCAGGTCTGATCTGCAACGACAGGAAACGTTTGGTTGAGGTTATTGCTGCCAAAGGAGGGTCAACCAGTTATTAAATCCAAAGGTTCACATACTTTTTCCTCCCTGCACTGTGAATGTTTACATGTTATGTGCAATTAAACCATGGCATCATCTAATGTTTGTGTGTAGTATTATGTTCAGCAGACTGTGTTCTTCTATTGTTGTGACTTAGATGACGTTCAGAGCACATTTTATGCCCAATTTATGCAAACCTCCACGTAATCCTAAGGGGTTCACATACTTTTTCTTGCAACTGTATATATATATATATATGACACGGCTGTCAATCACTGGATGTCTATTTAAAAATATACACTATATTTTTAAATAGACAATTTGACAAAGAATGGAAGAAACTGACCCTCTCTATAACCGAAATCAAATCTTGGATCACACAGAATTATACTACATGAGAAGGTGGAGGCCAGGGTATCTGATACAATTCAAAAATACTCAGCTATTTGGTTTACTTGGTTTATGCTTTTCTTTCCACCTGGAATGGATATTAGCCTGTTTGGCTTATAGTTCAGGCTAGACCATTCCTTCCTATTCTACTCCTCATTTCTTCTTAAACCAAGCCTCCTCCCCGCTTTCTACCCCATACCCCCAGATGCTTGATTGATGAAACACTATGATATACAGTATTACATATAGATACAATTATTAAAGAGTAGCTATTTTGCTATTTTTATCTTGCAAGAATACAATTGTGTATTTTTCTTGTAGCATGAATTGACCGCTATCCAAAATTACGCTTTTGTAAATTTAATAAAATGTATTTAAAACCGTGAAGTTTTATTAACCACTTGAGTGCTAGGATTTGTACAGTTATGGATGGTATAGCTGTGTTTCTCTGTTTTTTAGAGAGGCTGTCAGGAAAATCTAATTGGGCTCTCTGCTTAACAAAGAGCTGAGATAGATTAGTAAGGTTTGCTTGTGATGCTCTGGTGATGTCGGAGCTGTTTTATGCCTTCTGAAAGCAACTAGAGCCTGCTAGAACCTGGGTGGGAGCTAGGCAAATGAGCAAAATTAATATGATTGCAGCCTTGGCCAATTGTAGGGGAGCACAGGAGCTCTGGGTCTTTCCTGGCAAGAATTGCACCAAGCCAGGCAGGCTTGTCTCGCCTGGCACTAGCTAACAT